TTTATTGTTTTCTTATACTCCGGACCCCGACGTTTGATCGAGGTCCAACGTTTATTCGAAACCCAGCATTTAATCGAGGAAATACGGTAGCATTAATACACATATTGCTCTCATCTCACACGTGGCGTAACGTTTGGGACAGGTAAAAACTATTCCTCTCGGGACAACACTTTCAAACGTCGGCTCGCTGACTTGGTTGATGCATGTTATCGATCCTAATTGTGTGGATCGATGCTCGTGATATTAATCACTGGATTGTCTGGTCCAGACTCTATTATTTTACAGACCGCCGTCATATAGCTGGAATATTGCTGAGTGTGGCGTTAAACACCAAAACCAACCAACCAGGAGTGACACAATGCTGAAGATGTATATTTACCTTGCAGAAACTTGCACGTCGAATGAAAATTGTCCTGGTGTAACAATGTTAGGCAACAGCAACACATCGCCGGACGCTCGTCCAAACCTGTTTGAAAAGAAATTGAGACACTCGCTGTCAATTTACGTGCTGGCACGACAACATGCCAGCTGCTAAATTTAACGCTCTGTTTGTCTGTATTACTACAGCTGTGATGAATTTATTTGAGGGTGACGTTGTGAAAACTGCACACGCTCGTTTACACACAATGAATGTTTCATATTTCACACTTTTTAAGTCTAAAACTTCCCTAACTGGATATATAAATATTTAAAACCAATAAGTTGATGATGGGTAACTAATACCTTGGCAAAAAATATTGGATATGCGCATTTGTTGAAAACGTCAATGGCAGCTATTTAGGTCACCGTGCGTATTTGGTTATAAGTGAGTGTCTGTGTGAATTGGTGTGAGCGCCGCTTTGAACGCAAGTTATATTGAGTGAGTATATTGTTATGCAGCTTTTAGCAATATTCCAGCAAAATCATGGCGGGGTACCCCAGAAATGGACCTCACACATTGTACCCATGAGGGGCATCGAATTCGGGCTTTCAGCAGGACGAACGAACACTTTAACTAATGGGCTACCCCGCAACCCTTCCAGCTATATCAGGGTGTGCCAGCTTAATGGGTGAGGAAAGTCCGACATGATATTAGCGAGTCTCGACAGGCTGTAAATAAGGGAAGAGTGATGTTGACAGCCCTGACCAAGTCAGACCGAACACAGACCAAACACTTCTGTTGAGAATGTAGAGGGGAAAAGGCTTCACCTTGAGCACCGTGTTTTCTTTAACTCCTGTGATATAAGCCACTATAAAGCGTAGATAGATATAATACTAGTCAATAGATGTAAAATATTTTTAGTAACTTTAGAAGTGCTTTAAAAGTTATTAACACGTGTCGTGTCAGCCCTTTGACATTCGCGAATATCCACTCCCAGAAAACACCCTGTGTTGGTTTAATATAAATGAGTAAAGGTTAACTAGGGAGGTCTAACACGTTAATTAATGAAAGAAAGGTCGTCAATACACTGTCTCTCCTGCCAAGGACATCACAACCCCAAGGTCGATGAGAAACCTTCTCATCAAAGATTTTAGGCCATCCCGATAAGAACGTGCCCTGTCGATCACTTCGGGCTTGGCCATTCAATGTTTTCGTGATGATCATTAACTTCCTGCCCATTAATATACATTATAAAATAATTTAATATTAACGATCACATCTATCTTTCCATATACTAGATTTGAATATTTTCTGTCAATCAGCATCACGAACAGAACGATAATCTGCAATGTCGTTTCCTCAAAAGCGCCCTGCTAAATCGCCATGACACTACAGTCAATAGAAATATGCAATACTTGAACAAAAAATGTGAATTAAGTGAGTTACGATGTATAGTCACATCGGCAATATTTCAGCTATGTCGTGACTAAATCAAGTTGTACAGTAATAATACATAAATATGACGTTTAATCGAGGTCCAACGTTCATTCGAAACCCAGCATTTAATCGAGGAAGTACGGTAGCTCCCATACACATTTCCCCCTCATGTTACACATGGCGTAAAGTTTGGGACAGGTAATAACTATTCCACTTGTTTCCTATCCTGTAAGTATGTCCCAGTACACACTCACCATTACCCGTTGGGAGTCCGGGATAGAAGAGGGATAGTCCTAAGAGGCGACTAAATGGATCGGGTGGTCAAGCCGACGACGTGTGGATCGTTGTTCGCGATATCAATCACTGGATATTTCTGGTTGACAATCGATTATTTACAGGCCGCCATCATATAGCTGGACTATTGCTGAGTGTGTTTGGTCGCTAGCTGAACAGCTTGACCATGAACGGTGTGATGATTCTCGAGAGAAATGAAAAAGCCTTCACATGTCTTCATCAACAAAGAGGTGGATTTGGAACTAGTGGCCAAGCACGATGACAAGACAATGCTGCAGTACTTTAAACACATGGACAATGGCAATCAGGCAAGAGTAGTGTTTCCTCATGGGATGAATGTGATGAAGGAATATAGAGACGGGAAAATGATCGGCTTTCTGTACTTTGAAGGATTCATTAGCGAGAAGCGGGACACTGTTGGGGAAAGCATGTTCCTCCCTCATCCCTTTTTTATTCAATGAAATTCAAACTAGTCCTTCCTCCACACTTTTGAAAATATCTGCATAAGAAATATTTTTTTGCAGCGTTTATACAGCGTCAAATGAAGATGATAGTTTGTTCGCCTGCAACGGGCGTCCCTGGTATGGTTGGTTGGTTGGTTGGTTGGTTTGTTGTTTAACGCCGCACTCAGCAATATTCCAGCTATATGACGGCGGTCTGTAAATAATCGAGTCTGGACCAGACAATCCAGTGATTGAAATCATGAGCATCGATCCGCGCAATTGGGATCGATGACATGCATCACCCGAGTCAGCGAGCCTGACCACCCGATCCCGTTAGTCGCCTTTTACGACAAGCATAGTCACCTTTTACGGCAAGCATGGGTTGCTGAAGGCCTATTCTACCCCGGAATCTTCACGGGTCTCCCTGGTATGGCGTGTGCTTCCGTTAGCACTAGCTCATGTCAGCGTTATTCCGTTCTGCACCGTTAAAGAAAACATATATTAGCAGCTGTATTTGTAGTTTAGATAAAGTTATATGGACGAATGGTCATGTGGCATGTGATGTTATGTTGACTGCCTACAATAGACATCGTAATGGCTAGATACCCTCCAATAGCTTTCAACTAATGCCCAACCTCCAATAGCAACACTCTGTCCTTGGTTGTTGCAAGAGCCTACCCGGTGGTCAGGTTAAAGGGGAAGTGTACACGCAAAAATCACTTTCTTTCTTTTTCTAAACAAAACGCAATTTTAGAATTAATTAGTATCTGTGTTTTTGTTATGGAAATAGAACACTTGGTAAATGTGAAAAATATAAATCGTTTTAATGCAAAAAATATGTTAATTAAATATGATGTTTTTATATTTTTGTCTATGACACTTCTATGTTAACACTTTTAATGTGGAAAAAGTACAAGAAAAATTGGTTCATTTCCGTGTGAACTTGCCCTTTAAGTGACGTCGCATGTTGCGTGTCATCGTACCTCGACTGCGTGGCAACCACCTACTTACCCTAGTGTACCGCCAGTTGTCACATCTGACTCGAGCTAAACACAAGCTAACATTCAGTTAGGCTAATATGTGCGCCGTTAGTGTTTTTAAATACTATTTCAATATTCTAGCAGTGTTTGTAAGTTAATTCATTCCGCTCGGAGATTTAGTGTATGAATAATTTTGTCACACACACAAATCGTCAGTTTAACGGTTTGGTTGAACAAGTTATGTGTTTTAGGGGCAATATTTCTGTATATTTTGTTTTGTTTACGCCGCACTCAACAGTATTCCAGCTTTATTAGTAAGTGAGTGAGTTAGTTTTAACACCGACGTGGACAGTATTGCGGTTATATAACGGCGTGTCAGCTTGTGGGAGGAAATCCCGAAGTGAAGCAGATCTTAGAGGTTTACCAGGGGCGGTCGGGTAGCCTAGTGGTTAAAGCGTTCGCTCGTCACGCCGAAAACCGGGGTTCGATTCCCGACATGGGTACAATTTGTGAAGCCCATTTCTGGTGTCCCCAGCCGTGATATTGCTGGAATATTGCTAAAAGCGGCGTAAAACCATACTCACCCACTCACTTAGAGGTTTTCCACTTTGGTCAAACACACGAGCATGGGTATGTGAAGCGAACTGAGGCGCCTTTGGTGACTGGGCCATCCGTGCCGCCCCTTGTTATACGAAGGCGACCAGTAAATAATCGAACCAGGTAATCCACTGGTTGATATTGTGAGCAACGATCAACGCCATCGGGGTACGATGACACGCAGTCAACCAAGTTTGAGATATCCAGAATTGGTGTAAGGATATTTAGAATTGAATTATCAGTGTGTGTACAAAAAGCTCATACGCCTCTTGCTGAGAAGTTGTTTGATCAAGGTAACAACAGTCAAGGCTCAGTAAATCTTTCAATAAGTTGTCGAATCTGAGACCAGAATACTGTCCGATTCTATTTCCCATTTCGAATTGTAGCGTCTGTTCCTGTGTTTTCTCGGGTGAACAATTGACTTGCCTTTGCAAGTGTTTGTGACGGAACAGGATAAGTTGTGGGGCAGGATAAGCTCACCCTTTTAGCGTACACCTGGTATCATAACTATTTGAAAGTGATTCATAAACATTTTCATGATATAGTCGGAATTGAACAACCGAGATTTCTAATAAATATGGAAAGGGTTTTGTCGCTTTTATATTTCTGACTGGTAAATCGTCACTCAAAAACAAAACCTCGACGTTTACTACCTTGGTGAAACTGACGAGCTTAGATAAGTTGCTGAAAGATCAAGGAGCATAATCGGGGCGAATACAGGATTCGAAGCCACGACCATGCAAAACCAGGCTGCTAAGGGACACAACTCTGTCCAACGAGTTTCGAGTCTTTATCAGACCCCTAGATCGCCAATGTTCTGCACCATTGAATAATACAATAAAAGCACACAACAGAACAGACAGGACTGAGAACCGAGTTTAATACGCACACTATGATACAGATACAATTACAAAACTTGACATAATTAAGCATAACAAGGCGACGTCGGTGTATCTTTGAGCGCTGACTGCCACATCTCGACGTGACGACGTTGTACTGTGCGGGCTACGTTGTCGTAGTTGAGGAACAGCGTCCTCTCCACCCTGAACCTGTCTGAGGCGAGCCCCAGGGGTAACGCTCCCCGGTGTATCCTTATAGATGTGTAGATTTGTGGGGAGATGTCTCTAAAACATTGGGAAAAAGTCCTGAACCAGGCTTCAGTTGCTTGTTTGTTTGGTGTTTAAAACCAGTGATGGATAATATGAGCAACGCCACAAGCTGTTGTGATGATTTTACACGGTATATGTACGCCATGTCAGTAACATGTGATTTTCCTGCTATTTGATAAATTGTTGGATGACCTTATGACATATTTATCAGTTGGATGATGTTGGTTATGTTCATACTTCTACAGGGACGGTGGGGTAACCTAGTGGACAAAGCGTTTGCTCGTCACGCCGAAGACCCGGGTTCGATTCCCCACATGGGTACAATGCGTGAAGCATTTTATTTGGTACACCCACACCCACACCCACACCCACACGGGTTACACCCACAGGGGCCACACTCACGACCACAGGGGCCACATCCACACCCACACTCACACAGGCCACACCACACCAAAACAGGCTACACCCACAGGAGCCACACCCACACTCACACAGGCCACACCACACCCAAACCGGCCACACCCACAGGAGCCACACCCAACCTGGTCACACACGCTTCTTGGAAATGGGTCCCACTGAGAGGGTATGTAAGACCACGTCTTTCAAGGTATATTTACTTCTTCTTTTTAATAGTAGTATATGTGTAATTTTACTGTTTGGCTAAATTTGTCAGTCATCGCCAACAACTGAAGGGATAATGTAAATCCGACTGGGGTCCCAGCGCGGTGATCCACCTTCATTTGGTGGCGATCTATAGCCTGTTTTTATAATGTGTTGTTAAATGATTAGTTAGTTATCTATTTTTACTTGTTCTCAAACTAGTTTTACGAATGTCTGTGATGTTCTAGTTATTATACTGCTCTTTGTCAGCAGAATTTTAAACAGTTTAATATATATTGTTCATATCAAATTTTGTTTCGTCACGATATGGCTGAAATATTGCCGATGTGACGTTGAACTTAACTCACTCACTCACTCACTCTTGGAAATGGAATGACAGACAGTTGACTACATTTCTTGGAATTTGTAACGTGAGGTAGAAACAATTTCCGACTATTGAAGGTTCGTTAGGCCTAACTTTGATGAAATATATTGTTTGACACTGTCGAGGCTCAAAGGCTTTTGATCGCGAAAACTTTGTTGACACAAACAGTCGAACTACAACAAATGTGACTTTTAACGAGTGAGTCAAAGCATGGCATTTATGATATATGTATCTATTCATTGTCAACTAAAGTTCATTTCAAGGCGTCAATAGCGATAACCTGACCGTGGTTGCTGTAAATGACGGCGAGTTGTGCGATCTTCCGATCCCTTTACGCACGATTTCGCCAAAATTAATCTAAACTATATTGAATGAACTTTTGAATAAAATAAATAATAAATATTTCAAACATATGTCAAGGTATACAACGAACATATTTTTATAACCAGATAGTGTAATAACAGGATTAAATTGCGGACTTCATTGCGGATTTGTTGATTGGTATTTCAGGCGTTTTTTGGCGATGGGGACATTGACATCGTGTCAGTGACTTGAGTTTACTAAAAGTGTATATAAATTTTGTTACCTCACACGAAAACTGAGCTAGCGCTATATTGAAAAGCGTAATAGCGAGGGATCACTGTACGTGAACCTGCAGTCTTTGTTTCAAGTGAGTAAGCTAGTGAAGGATAGAGTAGCCTCCCTTTGCCTCATAAGCACCCACAGGGGTATCTTCAATAACAATTTTCATTGCCAGTACCGCACATGTCAGGTTGTGTTACAGCGGCCTATTTTACGTTTCTTCGGCGGTGGGGACAAACCTATAAGGAAGGCGGAGAGGAATTCTGAAAATTCAAATGAATCTATATCGGCCAAGAATAAGAAGTATGACGAATGTAAACGAAAACGAACATTCATCGCTGCGTGGAAAGACCATTCCCTTGGGTTGCGTATAATGACAGGGCCGAAGTCACGAAGTGCACCAACTGGTCCAAGTACCCAAACATACAAGCTTGCAATCGAAAGAGAACTTTTATTGATGGATGTTCAAATTTCAGAATTGAATATTTGAAAAGTCACAATACATCAGATGTACATTTGCAAGCTCCTCACAGCGATAGTCCGTTCGCGGAGCTGTCTATACTATCGCTGCCACCAGTCAAAACTCCCCACTGTGATAGGTGGCCCCAACCATGCTTGACTTGAACTCGCAACTGAATGACCGTTATGTTTACAAACAAGCCGAATACAATTACCGCTTATAAATTACTTACTTTGTTAGTCAATTTGAATATCTATTTCATTAAAAGTATCATCTTTAATTGATATAGTAAGAATGTAAGGGAGAAATTGGTTGATTTTCCGTTTGTCTGCAATCTCGAACCAATCTGATTATTTAAACAATAAAGTCAATTCATCCAGAAAACATGGTCAGTCGTAAACCTTTTCAAAATGAAATATGATGGCATTTCCAAAGACATGAACAAAAGTATAAACGTTACTACATATGGGGTCAGGGGGCAAATTTCAAGATTCTTGTAATGGCCGCGCCCACACTGGTAGTCGCGATGTTACCGAGAGTGTAACGAAGGTGTCACGCGCAGGGAAGGAGCTTGGTACATTTGGCGTGTATGTCATGAGAGAGACAGACAATGCAGAAGATAGAAAAATTATTCATTACTGTATTCCGTGTTGCTTTACCGGGGGAAACCGCTCAGTGATTTTGAGTATAATTTACACCTACTTGACTGTTGGTGTCGACATTGGAACCAAATATAGGAATATTTCAGGTGCACGCGAGTGTATCAAAGCCATCGCATTTTCTCCCCAGAAGGAATGTATTCCCGAACTGAAGAAAGCCAGATTTGTGATGGAAGCACAGACAGTGTCATCTTGGAACAAGAAACTGTCTTTATAAGTTATGTAAGCCATGGTCAACCAGTATCCTTCCATGCAGGAACAGTACCTCTCGAACAATGCCATGCTGATGGTGTGCTAGATGGAAGTAGAAAAGCTGTTGAATTGAATCAGTTGGAATATGTTTTGCTGATCTGTTGAGTACTACAGAAGCAAGTGGCCCTACTTTAATATCCGTGAATTATGATTGCGCTTCCGTAATACTTGGCAGCAAAGATGGTGTAGCAGCAAAAATATGCAAATATACAAGACATGTTGTACCAGTGTATTGCGTAGCACATAAGCTTGAACTGGCCTTATTGGATGCTGTCAAACATTTTCCTAGTCTGTCAAATTTTGAAGATGTTTTGAAACAAGTTTTTAAGTTTTACCATTTTAGTCCTAACATGAGAAGGGAACTCAAGTCAGTGTCTGAAACATTCAATACTGATCTTGCCAATCTTTCTGATGATGGCTTGCGAGCAAAATCCGAGCTGTTAGAGCACTGAAGATAAGCTTTCATTCAGTACTCAATCACTTTGAAAGTGTGGCCACTGGTAGATCAGATCAAAGTGCCAAGTGTCAGGGAGGGATGGCTGAGGAAAATGAAGACAGTTTCATTTGTGAATACAATGTGCATCCTTCTTGATATCCTCCCCATCCTCACAGAGGTGTCTCTTGTCTTCCAGAAGGAAGACCTTCTCATTATTGAACTCCCTTCAGAAATTGAGGGTCTTGTCATGAAGCATCTTCACTGTAGAATTGGACCCGTGAAGATTCCGGGGTAGAATAGGTCTTCAGCAACCCATGCTTGCCGTAAAAGGTGACTATGCTTGTCGTAAAAGGCGACTAACGGCATCGGGTGGTCAGGCTCGCTGACTTGGTTGATACATGTCATCGATCCCAATTGCGTGGATCGATGCTCATGATAGCAATCACTGGATTGTCTGGTCCAGACTCGATTATTTACAGACTGCCGTCATATAGCTGGAATATTGCTGAGTGCGGCGTTAAACAACAAACCAACCAACCACTGTAGAATTGATCCTGTTGGAGCAGGGGGGGGGGGGGGGGGGGGAGTATGGAATACTATTAAAAAAATGTACAACCATGAGAAATCCTCTTTTAATGGTGTGAAGCTATAAATGGGGTGTGCCCCACTGTCATCTTTAAAGAGGATACACTCCTCATATCAGTTGTTGATGGCATCATCTCCAACTTAGACAAGATATTTTCATGCTTCAAACAGAAGCCTTTAAGCATTTGTGTTTAACTTTACAGAATGGCCTACTCAAGGAAAGCCCTTATCTGTGAATGGTAGCACCGACCTCTCAGAGTTGATGGAACATTTCGCTGCACTTTTCTCAGAAGAGGAAAGAAAACAAATGTCCAAAGAATTTATTGACCTAATAGGGCACCTGAAAGGATGCACCAGACCAGTTCTTGACACATACCAGCGGCTGCTCGAAAATACACCTCACAAGTTCTCACAACTCATGCTTGTGGTTTGTCCAGGAACGTCTATTTGTCACTTTGTCATACACTGACAATTATGTCACATGGTTCAAAGAAACTTTCAGATTTTGATCCAAGACCTGCCATTATGGAATGGCTTCACAACACACCAGGATCAAGGCATATCTTGTCTTTAGTGAAAGAGGCTAAACCTGAGCCTGGATCATGCAGCAGCAAATGTGTTGATTAGACTGTCACTCACTGTGTACATGAGATGTAGAGTAAACATGGTAAATAAATGCGACAAAAGGGTCAGATTTAATCTTTTTTTTACAGAAATCCATTGGAGACAGGTGTATCTGTTATTCCAGTTCAACAACAGTCACATTTTACTGAATTTATTAGCTTGATTGTGGGCAAGTAAATTTTAAAATAGGGCAAGTAAGAATGTTGGTCATACTTGCCCTTGGTCAAGTAACATTTGTCATAGATTGTCCACTCCAGATTTGTCAAAGAGTGGTGTTGATTTTTATGCCTGTTTGTGAGACAAATCCCACTTGATAGTATATACTTGTAAAATAGGCCAAGCCGCATCATTGTGAGATTCCATTAAATAAAAAACACCCCTGCACCCTCCCACCTCCCCATGGTTTATTCTCCCTGCAGTGTTTTATTGTACGACAAACAACTTCCACTCATCGTTTATTCCTTAAATACTATTATTGGTTTGTAGAGGAGGGTTGATATTTTAAACATGATATATACTTCTGGGTTGCCAGCTGTAATGGAACATTAACAGAATGATATTAGAAAAAGCTCTCTGAAGCAATGGCACTCAACGATCAAGTTTATGGAGGGACAAAAACACGAAAAGTCTCCAGTTATTATAATGATTAAGGGATTCTTTTTACTGCAGGAACGTAAAACACTGCACATTAGATATAAATCATACATTTCCAATTATATCTATGAATTGTTTTGGTGACGGGCAGGATGTGCTTACCGTTTTTTCGAACACCTGTTGTCGTCATTGATATTTCATTGCTCCATTCATGTAACTGAATCTGTTTCGGCAGATAATCGAGAATGATTACATTATTATTATATTTATTTGAACTATTATAAACCTACTTAATTATTACATGGACTTGTAAAGGACAAGGTATGATAAGGCCACTTTTTGGTCAACAGGTTCTGGAAAACATCAGAAACAAGGATCAATAAAAAAAATACCGGGAATGAACAGGGTGACAAAATCAATGAAGAATGTTGAAAAGGGCAATGTTGTGTGTCCCAAAGCAGAAATGCTTGTGGAAATAGTCGGATGAAAGACTTTTGCAATCAAGTGACCTTTATGCCGTTACCGAGACGCCTAGTATGACATAATTTAGTGTCACGTGACTATGCAAGCCGGGTAATATATGGTACCGCCGGCTACTGCCGCGCTCGCCAATCTTGGCGCCGATCTACGAATAAAGGCCTTTCCCTGTTAGCTTGACACCACTGACTTTGCGGTTGATGATGGTGTTGCTTCAATAAATTATCATCAGATCCCGTTAGACCAGAGACTAGAGGTGGTGACTAGAGACACATTGCATTCCCTGGCTACAGGACCGCCTCCGTGGTCTTGTGGTAGAGCGTTCGCCCGGAGAGCGGTAGGTCCGGGGTTCGATCCCCGGCCGCGTCGTAGAAAAAGACGTTAAAAGATTGTACTTGTTGTTACCCTGTCTGGCGCTCGACATTAAGGGGATAAAACAAGGACTGGTCGGCTCGGAGTCAGTATACTGTGTCTGAGTGGGGTATTTATGTTAAACTGCGGCATGGTATCTCAGTGAGCTAGCACTATAAATCGGCATCAGTCCGGACTAATACAAGCAGCCACACACACACACGTGCATGCACGTCGCTATATAAGTGCAATAATCTTGGACGCGACGTTAAACCCAATTTCACCTCACCTCACCCTGGCTACAGCCGTCTTCTGCTTTCAATCGTTCGACGATGTTGTTCAGTCATTATTCAGTTACTCACTGCATAACGACTTGGTTGATGTGCATACATTTCGGCAGTTGAGAATGTCATCACTTCTATGAGCCTATACATGATTTACACGTGTTTATTCAATGAAGCCAGAATACATTGTTGTTTGTCTGACTCATAAATATACTTACTCAAACTCAAAAACCCACTACAGGTGAACACCAAGCGAACTTTGACCGCCCAATCAAAATGAAGGATGCAATTCTAAACCGATTCCCGACTCAGAACATATATTTCCGGATAGTACAGTGTCACCCTTTGGGTGTAGTGAGTGAGTTTATAGCCACATCGGCAATATTTCTGCTATATCGTGACTAAATCAAGTTATATAGTTATGATACACAAAACTGAACTATAAAACCTGTCGACGAAGGACAGTAAAATAACTAGATTATCACAGACGTGGATTTAAGTTAAAACGAGCATGCACCATATAAATTGAACTATTCATAATATAACAAAATAAAAATGCGCTAGACATCACCAGCAACCAAAGGTAACGCTCAGGGCTCAAAGTTCACGCAATACTCTACGGAGAGCAATGTCAGGATTCTTTGATAGCCCCGATTATGATCCGCAGTGTGTCAGCAGGATAACTTTGGTACCCGTCATCATAGAGGTAAATATCTTTTTATTTTCATCCAATGGAAGATGAAGATGGGCGTTGTAAATCCCATAGCGCACTGACGAGTCGATATATAACCACTAGTGAGGTGAGGTGGGGTTAAACGTCGCGTCTAAGATTATTGCACTTATGTAGCGACGTGCACGCACGTGTGTGTGTGTCTCTGTGTGTGTGTGGGTGTGTGTGTGTGTGTGTGTGTGTGTGTGTGTGTGTGTGTGTGTGTGTGTGTGTACTAGCCGGTTTATAGTGCCAGCCCACTGAGATACCATGCCGCAGTTTAACACAAATACCCCACTCAGACACAGTATACTGACTCCGAGCTGACCAGTCCTTGTTTAAGCCCCTTAATGCCGAGCGCCAGGCAGGGTAAGAAAAGGTTCCATCTTTTAACGTGTTTTGGTATGACGCGGCCGGGGATAGAACCCCGGACCTTCCGCTCTCCGGGCGGACGCTCTACCTCAATACCACGGAGGCGGTCTATAACCACTACTAGTGACATAGAAAAGTTGATGTAGCCTGGTGGCTGAAGCGTTCGCTTGTTTCACCAAAGGCCCGGGTTCGATTCCGACATGGGTACAATGTGGGAAGCCAATTTCTGGTTTCCACGCCGTGATTTGCTGAATATTGCAGAAAGCGGCGTAAAACACACCTCACTAAGAAGCAAACTGATATTAAATGATGATGAGATGCGGTAACCACAGCTTAATATTCACATAATGCCTACCTGACTGCCTTGTCGTGAAACTTGGCATTGCGCCATTTCTCCACCGCCTTGGTGTCGCGGAATATGACCAGGTTCCCCCAGTTTCCCCCGGGCGTCCTCTCGCCACTGACCGCCGCCATGATGTCCTCGTGGTCTCTAAGTTGAGACAATAAGCAATCGTCCATCTCCCACAGATCTTTCAACCCACTCTCATCAACGCCATTCCACTGGTTCCCGATGAAGCCCACAAAATACAGGACGCTCCCCGAAGCCTGGCCTCCATCCCGCAACTGTTGCACAACCCGTGCTCCATGGGGCAAGATCAGCTTCGACTTACAGCCGTTCTGCAGGTGCGAGAAGTACCCCAGCTTGCACCTGTTGTCATAGTCATTCAAGTCGCCAGTGTTGTCTAGTTCCTGGTTGAGGAAGTCGAGGCACAGCTTGAGAAAGCTGAAATCATCTCCGTACGTTTGAATGCTTCTTGCCTCAGTCATGGTGACTCTCAATGGTTCGTTTATCATCTTCGTGTGCTTATATACCCCACGTGAATAGGCGCAGCTTGTTGTTATCTGATATTTATTGTAAGTAGGCTAACTTCCGTAGGCTAGTGCCAAAACGTATAATTTAACATATGTTGCCATACATTAACTCTCTGGGTTTGGCAGTATATTAGTATAAGGTTATTGAAACCATATTTATAAACCTATTCATTGGGATCGCTATTAAGTAAGAGACTTCTTTCTATAGGCATTAATACCTATTGTGAGGTTATACTTTCCAGTCGGGTTAAATCTCATAAACAGGGACGTTGTAATGTCCCTGGGAGTTTATATAATATCCAAGGGGTTTTATATAATGTCCTGGGTATTTTATAAATACAACTTCCGTTCAGATTGTAACATGTAATGAAATGTAAAATCAAATGACAAATGTTTTCTCTATATTCCCGAGGATCGAACTCTCAACCTTCATATCTGTAGCCCAGTGAGTGTACCACAAGGCTACAGAGGTGTTGATAAGCCTCACTGGTTTTTAGAATGTCCTTTTCAAGATCCGTACGCCAGCAACAAATGTTCAAGGCGCGTTTCCTATGGCTCATGGAAAGTATGTTCGAAACATAAAAATGTTGATAAATGTTTTAAATTTCTTTTCTTCGGTTTATAAGTATGGAAAAACACTTTCCCTCGGTTTTGGTAGACAGAGCATGCCCTGGGGGTTGGGAATAACCGCGGGGGCTTCGCCCCCTTGGTTTTTCCCTCTCCCCAGGGCATGCTCTATCTACCAAAACCTCGTGAGCGTGTTTTCTCATATACATAGACACTGAATATCAGACCGTGAAATAATAAATGCTATACAGCATTTGAAAACTGGCAAATCACCGGGACCTGTCCTCTGTTATTACTCTTCTATAAGCTTCTTTTTAACCATATTCTTGAGACAGGTCAATTCTTGGACTTATTGTCCCATTACATAAATCTGACTCGAAGGATAACCTTTACATATATTTAATTCTCATGAAAAGGATTAGGCACAAGTTATCACAACTTAGAACGCCGTCTCCCATAGATTTACATGTATGCTTATTTACAGTTAATAAATCAAATGACAGAAAGGAAAGAATGAATTGCCATGTTAGACATTATAAGTAAAATATTCATATCAATGATTGAATCTCGAATAAACCTTTGGATCTCCACACAACAGATACTGTCAGAATGCCGAGCAGGGTTTCGCGAAGATTACTCAACGATTGATCACATATTTACTTTATTTTCACTGACACATATACTGAGTCAAATCAAAAACTTCACATTTTAAAAATTAATCTCATATATGATATACAACGGACAAATGTATCAGTGAAGGTTATTTTTAATAATTAATGTCCAAAGAAGGATTTTAATTAACGGTGGTAACCATAATTGGTTCCAAGCACCTACGGTATTCGGTAATAACATCAACAGTTTAAATCATAAGTCCCAAGCACGAGAAGCTGATTGCACACAAGTTAAGTAGCGTGTATGGCCACCATGTGCGTTGACAACTGCCACACAACGCCTCCGCAGGGACCTTGTGATGCTTGTGAACACATGATTGGGAAGACGTTGACTCCCGCATTCTGAAGGAGATTCCTTGTCAAAATTGCTGTGTGGGGTCTGGCATTGTCGTGTTGGAAGATCAAACCGGGTCCATGTGCTGCTATAAAAGGCAGAAGTTCTGGTGCCAGTACCTGGTCGCGGTAAGCAGCAGCGTTGAGGTTGCCACGGATAAGAAGCCTGGAACGTGCATTGCCAAAGAAAGCACCCCACACCATGACACTTCCGCCTCGAAATCTGTCAACTTCCTATACTCAATACTGGGCGTAACGTTCATGACGGCGCCTCAACACCCTCGCCCTACCATCAGCAAATCGAAGATTAATTCGGGAGTCCATCGTAAGTGTCGCTGTGCCCACAATTGACGTTGACGTCTGTGTAATTGAGTCAGAATCGGCCCGAAGTATGGCCCTCAGTCTACCCCTAAACAGTTCATTTCTGGTTGATGTAGCCGTCAAAAATCGGTTACGGAGGTGACGTAAGACAATCCGACGATCCTCTGCATGTGACGTCACACGTGGTCGACCTGGCCGAGGGCGATCAGCGGTGGTACCCGTTTGCTGTAGACGCGTCTGTAAATCATAAACAGTCCGTCGACTACAACCCATCGTCCTTGCGACTTCAGCTACGGACGTTCCCGTCTGCAACATGCCGATGGCACGTTCACGTTGCACATTTGAAAGGCGTAATGGCCGTAAAGACGTTTGTATTCTTGTGTTTTTCTTTTTTTTGTTAATGACTGCTAACAAGTATGGCTGAAAACACGTGCGGTATTATGGCCACGTGACCAGTTGCATGTAAAAAAACACTTTTGCCACTATAGTGCTGTGCACATGATTTTGATCGATTCACCTGCACAAAAACGGTGTTATCTGAAGACAATACGTGGCCATTACTGTTTAAATACACAATAAGGGCCCACACTGATAACTGGTCAAAATGTTAAAACTTTAGGATTGTGAAGTTTTTAATTTGATTCAGTATACATGTATGTAGAAGATGTATACCATGTTTTATTGATATGTCCAGTATATGAAGATATAAGAATCAAATACCTGCCCTACTATTATTATACGTATCCATTACACAGAAAATTTGTACAGTTAGTGAACAGCAAAAATAGCCACATTCTTCTCAGACTTGCATTTTTTGTTTGTAAGATATTTGAAAGAAGGTGATACATTGAATATTAATATAACTGTGTACATCTATTCAGCTACAATATAATCAGTATACAAGTGGTGCTCCTCGACGAATTTTCCTACAACAAAATGTCATTGTACGTTTGGCCTCATGGCCACCCGTGCGAAATAAATCTGTCTATCTGTCTATAGACACTGAGGTTGAAGGATGCAGGTCTCAAACGTTTACTATTAAGGTGAAATTCACGTGCACGTGTTTGGCGCTGACAAACCAAGTATTAGTATCAGTCCGATTCGAACCCAGTATCACAGATACCCCATGAGACCTACATGCATCATGCTAGTCTAATTGATTATGTAATACGAGGCTGCATACAAATTGTAAGCCACGTGGAGCTGAAGATGCCGTCACACATGTCCTTCACATGCCTCAAACATCATCAGTACACAGAGCAAGAGGCTGAAATCTTCACCAGCTGAGCACGCACTCAAATTATTGTTTGTTTGTTGTTTAACGCCACACTCAGCAATATTCCAGCTATATGACGGCAGTCTGTAAATAATCGAGTATGGGCCAGATAATCCAGTGATTAACATCATGAGTAACGACGCAGTTGGGGTACGGTGACATGCAACCTGACCACCCGATCCAGTCAGTCGCCTCTTACAAGCAAAGTCGCCTTCTACGGCAAGCATGGGTAAGTGAACACCTATTATACCCGGATCTTCACGGGTCACACTGAAATTATTCACCAAAAGTATTCATCATCAGTTAGAACTGATCATGAATTGAGACAAGAACAATGTATTAATGATTCTACGCTATGATAAAACTGAACAATTGAGTAAGTGAGTTTAAATGTAACGTCGCATCGGCATTATTTCAGCCATATAGCGACGAGAACTGAACAATTAGTTGCCCAGTCGTCAAAGGCGCCGAAATTCGCTGTGTGTCCCTTATGCGGGACGGAATGCTGTTACCGTGGGATATAATCTCGAAATTCGCCTTGTATTTGTTTCTATGTTCACCATTCCTTGGCTAAACGTCGAAGATGCATCACTTAGGGATCTCCTCACACATCAAGCTGACACGCTGTGACCTAACTGACATATTGTTCATCGAGGGGTCAATCTAGTTTGGTATAGACAACTTGACCTCCCGTATAATTATATATTAGGTTTTTCTCTTCTATGGACATTTGAATTTAATAAACTGCCCTCAAAACTAAATGATGCAATCGAAATAGTAGTCAATCATTGTTCTTTTCAGTGACGATTTAAATAGATAGGAGTGCGTGTACATAGTCAGGACCTCGTGGTAAGTCTTGCATCACCATGTGGAAAGTGACAGTTCAAGGAGCTAATGAGGTCAGAGCTTTTGAGGTCGACTTTCATCATCCTATCTTGAGATGATGAAATAAGCCGAGTTCTAGAGCCGGTAGTTCCCATGTACTGGTGTCTCGTGACTGTGTCGCTTACAATACATGCCCAGATGCAATGGCCTCAGGAATATCACTGTCTTTTATAGATTATGTGTACAAGATTTATATGGTTAAACCTTTTTAACTCGAATCTCGACATCCTATACCTGTCGAAGGAGATGTCTTTACTGATCGGGTGGTTAGGCTTGGTGACTTGGTTGATCTGCTGTTATCGTATCCAAATTGACTCAGTTCACATGTGCCTCGGTTTATCCAGCAGGGAATGGGTACCCGATATGAGGTGGATGTAAAAACCTGCACGCGCCCCTAGGCAGCTTGGATTGTATACTCCCCAGGGAGTTGAGAATGATAACTGGACCAACTGGTCGGGGAACAAATAAAACCGCATTTGAGCAGATATTATTATCATTAATAACAATAACATTAACAACAACAACAACAACAATAATAATAATAATCGGAACGATGCTCATGATGTCAGCCACTGGATTATTCGGTCCAGATTTGCCATGATATTGCTAAGTGCGGCGTTGAACTACAACAAACATGAATGTTGACATATGCTCAGTTTATTTTAGAGTACCCTGCCCTTAGAGTGATGCTGTATTTTGGGCAGGAAGGTGAGGTGAAATTGGGTTTAACGTCGCGTCCAAGATTATTGCACTTATATAGCGACGTGCATGCACGTGTATGTGTATGTATGGCTGCTTGTACTAGTCCGGACTGATGCCGATTTATAGTGCTAGCTCACTGAGATACCATGCCGCAGTTTAACATGAATACCCCACTCAGACACAGTATACTGACTCCGAGC